TTTTGGTCTTAGGGTTTTAAGATTACACCTCAAATTTAAGAAAATATTGGATTTTCTGGAAAATTTAGGGTATCATTTACAAGGAAAGATTATAGATTTTATTCATACAAAAATTCTTATGAACTCACCAACTTTAATGTTGATTCTTTTCAAAACAGCTTGTATTCTCAGGAAACCAGTGAGCAGGTATTAAGAAAACATTTTTGAGGACAAGTGTCACTACATCATGATTTTTACTTTCAAATTTCTTGTACTTACGCAAACGAAATCTGTAATGTAGACTTTTATTCTCAATGTATGAATGTTTGTGATGATATGATTCATTTATATCCAATTATTATGATACTATACATGAAGTCACTCCATCCGCTCGCAGACGTTTCCACCATTCTGGTTTGGGGGTATGACATTAAGCTACCTATGATGTAGTTCATTGCAAGTCTCTTGGATGTTATGGCAGGTGCTCGTGCACCTGAACTCTTATGGAACATGGGATGCCATGCAAGGTTTTTGGGGTGACCATTGTTTGCTCTTGTGAGAGTTGAATTCTTGACGACTTGTCCAGAAGTCAAGTATGTATTTGAAGCCTTTTGGATTTAATTTTTCGGGATTCGGGAGCAGTTGGAATTCATGATTGAAAAGTTATGAGTATTCATTCTGCGTGGTTTGGTGGTGATCCTATTCAGGGACTAAAGGTAGGTATAATGGATGGGTGAGCGTTAGTCAATAGTTATGGTTTTGGAGTATAGACAAGTTGGTTCCCGGTCTACCAAAGTATATGGGTGGAATTGGTTTGTATTGCAGTTAAGCATTTTCAAGTGATTGGGGTGTCCATTGGCATCGGTTGGGTTCTGAGTGGTCTTTCAAGTTCTTGTTATAGATGTCATGATATTATGAATTTAATGGACAAAGCATATGAAATGTGTTGGTGCTATTTCTAGATATCCTAACCAAACCAAATTTCGACGACAAAATCCAGTTTAAGTGGGGGAGAATTGTAACATCTAATTTCAATACGTTTCTTATTTTGGGATTTCATGTTGTAATGCGATAAAATAAAGGTCTTGGGTATCAAAGAAGTAGAGTTTAGACCTTATCGAATGTTGATAATGTTAGTTAAGTGATAATTCATACTTCTTAGGTGAATTTAATTAATTACTTTATGCGTTTTGGTTGGTCCATAGAGTGCAACTGAGGTTCCACAATCTGACATTCCATTCTTGATGGAAAATGCGCATCCATATTGTACCATGATGTGGTAGGGAGCTGTCTACGACGTGGCTGCTGTTTTGGTCCATAATCCTAGATTTTTAGTCTTTTTATCTTATTTAAAGGAACTACATCGTAGGGTTTCCTCATTTGGCCGCCTCCACCCTCTGAGATTTGATTCCATCCAAACCCTAGCCTCCATTATTGATCTTGTTAGCTTTTGTGGTGATTTTTGGTACCTTGAAGAAGAAGAAGAAGAAGAATGTGTCCTTGGTGTTTAGATCCAAAAAAGCAAATATCCTCCTCATCATCTTGTGCAATCTATAGACTCTTATAAGTCGTCAAGCTTCTACCATTATGTTAGAGCTAGACTTTTACCCACTTTTCACCATGTTTAGTATGGTTTGAGTGGATGGATTTCATAAAGTTGGCAAATTTATAGGTCATTGTGGTTTCTTTGTAGTCTATGTCCCAGATCTGAAGAGTTATGGAGTTTTGGTTCCATGCATGAGATTTTAACCACGTTTTCACCATTTTGACCTAACTTGAGCTGAATACATGCATGTCTATAAAGGAATGATTTTATGATGTATTTAGGTGTATGAGAGCCCTCTGGAAAATATGAATGAATATCTTGAATGATTAAGAGCTTAATGTAGTAAGTTGACCTGAGCAGTTTCCACGACATGATGCGTTGGTCACCACGACTTGGCGTCCGACAGTCTTTAATACATTTTTGTATTGAAGCTTCCACAATATGACCAATGGATGGCAATGACATGGCGTTCAGTTGAGATTAAATTTAACGGTTGAATTTTTCACCAGTTTGACTTTTGGTCAAACTTGGTGATGTGTTGAGCTATAGTCTTAGGTTTTACTTATGATTTGTTTAAGAGATTCATGTATTTGATTTTATGGGACTTTGATTAGTGGATTTCAACTCTTCCTTAACGTGAGCCTTCGAAGTGTATTACCTATGTTATAATGGTGTGCATGCTGGACTAGCTAAGTCTTATTTGTTGATAGTTGTTTTGTGTAATTATTGACTTGTTGATAACTCCCAGACTACTGACATACCACAGGGTTGCTGATAACCCACATGGTTGCTGATAACTCATATAACTGTTGTGAGCCTATAGGACTGTTGATAGTCCCAAGGATGCTGATAACCCAAAGTTGTTTATGTTGTTGTCTTGTATGTGATATTTAGGATTGTTGATAGTCATAGGGTTACTAATAACCCATAGTTGATTATTATGCTGTGTTGTATCTGATATTTTTGGGAACTCTCTATGCTTTGTGCTTATAATTGTGGATTACTGTTTTTCAGGTACTTAGTGGATAGCGAAGGCAGGACTGTACACACAAATCAAGAGTTTTATGATGACAGATTTCACATCATCTTCCTTATAACTTTGATTTTGTATTATGGTTTATGAACTATTGGTTTGACTTGAATGTAACTTTACAAAAATTAGTCTTTATTCTATTTGAAAAATGTTTTTTTAGTGGAAATTGGGAAGTTGCACATAAAGAAATAATTCCCAAGATTTAACACTTTTCAACTTAGAGACAATGTTTTCTATGAGAAATATTGTCATCAACATGCAATACTAGGAATACAATGACACTCCCACTAGCTTTTACATGTACTCAAGACACATCTGAACTTCTAGAAATACAATACTCTTTGACTTTTTTGATGGAAACACATATCACTTGCTACACGATGCTTGTCTAAATCTATAAATAGACTTCTCAAGCATCCACACTTTTGTTTGGATACTTTGTATTTTTAAATTATTTCAAAATGTGTCACACGTCCTTTGGAAGTTTCTTGTCAAGGAAAGTCATTTAATTATCGAATTTACCATATCTTATAATCAAAGAAGGCAATAATGGTAACAAATAACCAAATAGACCTTTTCTCAGCTACTTGTGAGAATGGTTCATCCTAATCAATTTCTTGAGTTTGAGCTAAACTGTTTTCCATCATACTAGCTTTGAATGTTTGTACATTCCTATCCATGTTAGTCATCACATTGAAGATCAAATTGCAACCCACTTTCTTAAGACTAGGTTGTGGATCAACCAATTCTAGACTTGGTTATTCTCCATCGACTGAATTTATCTATCCTTAGCCTCTTCTCGTTTGTAGCCTCGGTGTTGAAGAGTGTTTAAATCAAGTTTAGAATACAAAATCAGTCATAGAATGCAATAAGAACACGATATGTAAATAATATCTTATTGGCTCATTAATCGCCAGTAAAAGTACACCAGTTCAAGAGAGAGAATACAAGAATGAAACGTGCAAAAACGACTCTCTACCCCTATACTTACTTTATTTATAGAGTGTTACAGACGCACAAAAAATATGCAAGGACTAGACTAATTTCGACATCAACAGGTGCCTTGCAAAATACATACATTTCGAAGTACATGACTTCGCACCCAAACAGACTAAAACTAGTTTCAACTTCTAACTATACATTTCGCACCCTACAATCTCCTCTTAAGTGAGAAGAATCGAAATCATGCATTAGCTTCATAGTCTAAATAAGTACTTTGCAAATCTTCATATACCAAAGTATTGTCTTCCGATTTCAACCTTATCAACTAATTCATTCCTTTTGTAATTATTGATTCGAACAAGAAGGCTTGTATACTAGGGGGTGTTTGGCAAAGCTTAAAAAAATGAGCTTTTTGACTTATTATTTGTTCGATACCAGTTTAAGTCAAAAAAAAGTGTTTGGGTAAAAAACAACTTATAGCTATTGGTAACCTTTAATAAGTCAAAAACTGATAAGTAACCTACCCCTTGCTAATTAAAAACTCCTTAGTTCACCAAATAAGTTATAATTCAAAAAGTCATAAGTCTTTTTAAATAAGCTTTGCCAGACACCCTCTAGGAATTCGTGTACCTCTCTACATCGCATACTTGAAACAAAAACTTTGCCATCCACCCATTCTTGTTCTTGCTACGAAACACCACTCCCAAAGGCTCAAGAATGATTCCCCCATCTTCATATTCATCCATGTTGATATTCCTATTTAGCAAGGATTGGGGAACCTTCGAACTCATGTTGATAGCCATAGCTAGCTCAATATCAATGATATCGAGGCAATCATAATAGTTATCAATGAACACCTTGATATGAGAAAAACTAATGAGAAAATCATCCCTTTTGTTCTATGGTAGCTTCGAAACATTCACATTGTTTAAAATCGTTGTCACAATGACCAAGTCATTTGAGTTTATCAATGGGAAATCAACAATCAAAAAATCATAGACCACATTATTTGCTCTAACAACCACATAGAGAAAGTTTTGTAGTATGCTTCGAACAAGTTCTCACGTGAAACAAAGATCACTTTTATGATCTTCACAGATGACCATACCTCCTCTTCAAATTTCCCCAAGGCTACATGAAATTGCATCTTCAGTCTTTTATATTCTTCTTTGTCGTTGAAGTGGTCGACTAACTTGTATTAAGAATACATGTACATCATATGATTTATCGGGAAATTAAGTTGATTAAATCAGAGTTCCCAACATCATAACACTTCTTTGGTAATTTGCAAAACTACTCAAACTTCCTAATTGAAACGACTTCCTTAATAGTTTCGTAGCATCAATGCTTATTTGGATCTCCCTTTTTCAAGCCTGGTGGATCATTCTACCTTCTCCTCAATAGACTATTCACTTGCCTTTGCCTTTCTATATCTAAGGCTTGTTTTTTATTCTTTTCTTCTTCTAAAGAAGTTACCACAACACCTTTTCCTTTGTCTCCCTAATTGTCTTTCGAAGGCGGTGGCATAGATCTCGAACAATAACCTCCAATACTTTCTCCTATAAGAATCCCTTTCATAATATGTATTGTTGTGGTTGTAGTTGAGGTTGTTATAAATGAAATTGGAAGTGAAGTGGGTATTTGAGCGGACAACAACTTCCCAACAACTACTCCTTTATCTGTATCTTCTGAAGATCCAATGCCTATACATCCTTTCTCTCCCCCTTGTGACACTTGCTTCGCAGGTGGAACATTAGTTGGTAAAACATGAACCAACTCAAGGATGGGAGCAAGTTTCACTTTGAGATGTGTCTCGATAGATGAAATCAACTGAGAAAATGATTCTTGAGACACAGAAGACTGATTCGAAAGAGAAGCTTTCGAAATGGATTCCTTGATACTACTTAAGAATTCCTCCAACTTTTCAGATACTTGGGAATTCTTTTCCGTCTTCGCATGAAGCCTAGTCAAATAACTGGTATTGTATTCAACATGCTTTACAATAACATCAACCTTTCCATGTATAATAGAATAAATTTTCTCTATCTTTTCAGCCTCTATGTCCATCTCCGATTTAAGTGCTGCCATCTTGAGATCAACAAACTCCTTCATAGTCTTCACTTGCTCAACGAAAAGTTCATGATGCTCCTTATCAACATCATGAAGCTTTTGAATCTTGTACTAAAAACTTTTGGCATGAAGTTCTAGCCTTTCAACTTGCTACTTCTCAATATTTTCCACCAACCTTCAAAGAGGTTTCTCCTGATACTTTAACATCTACTCCATTTCGACTCCAGAAACAAAATTTCAACCCCTAGTATCCGCTTGGATCTGTAAAAGAGAACGAAGTTTTTTGTTGAGGATCTTAAATTTTTTTACCTGATATGATCGTGTTATCAGGAACGTTATCTTCATCTAGATCAAAATGAAAGTCAGCACAAGAAACCATGATGTCATCATCATTTGGTTCATCATCTTGAACTATTCTCTCTGCTTCTATAGATTGCGAAGATAATAGAGTAGTAATTGGTTCTTGCATTATGGTGGAATATGTTGGTGATATGGTGGAAACGGATGTGGAGATGAAATAGGAGAATATAATGATTATAACGAAATTGATGTGTCAAGGATTGAGGTTTCGATGGTAGATGAAAGTATGAGTGATGTAGGAATAGTAGATGTTTCAAAATTTGAAGTAGCAAAGGATTTTTTTTCAACACCCCTTCACCGATGTTGACATGTGACAACTATCAAAATTCGAGACAGTTCTAGATTTGAATAAACTTACTTGCACTTATGGGTACAACACATACTAGACTTAGTGACTAGAAGCTAAGTTATAACCTACTCGAAACATGGAAACAAGTAGAATCGAAAGATAATGTACTTAGATTTTAAATTGATATGTGAATTCTACAACTAATTTAACTGTAACAACATTGCAAATTCAGGCAATTCCTTTACTCGAGCACTTTTGTACATTCATATAGATACATTATTCATATAGACACATCATACATTTGACCTAGTAGTATAAATCTAGGTAAGAAACTTCATTCTATCCTTCATCCTCTTTATTTTGATGCAAGTTCTAACATGTTTTCTCATGATTTTTGGATTCTATGCCTCTACTGTAACATCCAGAATTTCAGGTATTATATTTATTCTTTTTATTTTGAGTTTTGAGGAAGAACTCGGCGAGTTGGTGCGAAGACTCGCCGAGTAGAGAAGCGATTTCTCATCCGGATTAATGACCGGACTCGACGAGTCGCATTGGTGGACTCGGCGAGTCAGCGCTGTTTAATGAAAACCAAATTTCTCGGGTTTGGGGCCTATTTAAAGGGCCTTGTGGTCGTCATTTGTGCTCACCAGCCCCCAAAGCGAAACCCTAGTGCACTTGAGCGTGTGGAGTGAGAGAAGGAGCCATTATCAACCTTGGAGGTGTTGTCTAGCATGGGAAAGGAAGTTTTAGCCAGGAGGAAGCAAGAGGAACAAATTCCTGAAGTTTGAGGTTCAGAACATCACATTTGAGGTACCATTTTTGAACCCTTTTCTGTTGAGGTGATGTTCATGTTGATTTAGGGTTTATTGAGCCCTTTTGTGGCTAGATCTAGTGCCCATTTGGTCCCTTAAGTGAGTTAGGGTTCTGGATCTAGACCCTTGGAGGTCCAGAGTGTCCCTTTGTCCAAGCTTTTTATGAATCCATGGAAGTTTAGGTTTGGGATCTTTGTGTTTGAGGTCAAAACACCATGTATGAGTCATTAGGTGTGGTATGAACGCTAAGACATGAACTTTACGTGATAAATAAGCTTTGAAGGACTGGATCTATGAGTTATTGGAATAGATCTGACCTCGGAAGGTTGTTTGGGGTTGTGCATGGAATGCACTCGCCGAGTCTATTGGCAGACTCGATGAGTTGGTGCGGGTTGTTCATAGATTTCGAACCAGGGGTTGAGTAACCGAGTTGGGTGAGTGACTCGGTGAGTCGGAAGGGACTCAGAGGAATTGGGTCCTCGTAGGGACTCGACGAGTCCACGCCAGACTCGGCGAGTTGGGTTAACTGTTGACCATTGACCAGAGTTGACCAGTGTTGACTAGATATAGTTGTTGAACACGACTCTTTTATATGGGAAACAACAAGACTTTTATTAAGACACTTAAGGAGAACTTACACTTTGTGAGACTACTACACACTTTGCTTTCTTGGATGGTTTGGATGTTGGATTATTTTGGAGCAAATGAGCTCCACACCTATTTATAGGTGTTTCCACCTCCTTATAGGAAGTTTCTAGATCTATATACATTCATGACTGTTCTAGAATTATCTACCATATTCTATATCAATTACAAGCTTTTATATGTTTCTAGAATGTTCTATAATGTCCTAGATAAGTATAGACATTCTTGTGCCTTCCATAGTGTTCTAGAATGTTCCATAGCCTCACAGGGTCTTCCATCTCGTTCTAGAGTATTCTAGAATCTTGTGGCATCTTCTAGACTTCTCCATAGTATTCCATAATGTTCTAGAATCTTCCAGATCATTCTAGAGCATGCTAACTTCTTCTAGACAATAACATGATTCTATTGGGCTAGTGATGACCTTCAACATAGTTAGTCAACCTTAGTTGGGAAAGTGTTAATTAGAGATGTATTGTGTTATAGGAGGACTATAGCTCGGGAGATCGAGCACTAGTGATTTCAGGGATTTACGAGTTACCGAGATACGCGAGGTGAGTCTTCTCACTATACTTTACCTTGAGTAGGTAAATAGAGTTATGTGATACAGTGCTTTATATATATTGTTTGTTATACTGCATTCTTCTATGTGATTTATGATGTGCATGCTTGCAGAGTTAGAACCTGAGGGTTCACAGAGTTTAGGTGCACGGACCCACAAAGTTATAGCCTCAAGTGGCTAATATGAGTTATATGTGGTATTTTGTGGAACTCACTAAGCTTTGTACTTACAGTGTTTTTTGTTATGTGTTTCGGGTACTAGTGAGGATCGTGGGAAGGCGTCGGCTTGATCATTACACACACGGGATTTTTATGATACGAGATCTTGGGATATTGTTATATGTTATACATTGAGTTTCAAACAATGATGTTTTTATGATTTACAAATGAATTATGTTTTTATAAATGCGAAAAATTGTTTTGGAAATGTACAGTGTTACATCTACCATGGCTAGAGTCTTTTCTTCTATTTTAATGTTTGTATATTTTCACCATCCCATGTTGTATGTGTTATAAATAGTGAAAATCAATTATCAAACCTATGTTAAGATAATGATTTAAGCCATGCATGTGCACATTACTTCAAAAACCAATTTATACTTCTTCATCTTCTTCAAACTTGTTTTATTTTGGTTAAAATGGTTTTTAGAACATCATGGATGTGCTTTAATACCATGCATGTGGAAAAAAAGGTTTCATGTTAATGATCTTAGCACAAAAATCGTTCTTCAAGTTAAAAACACCAAACTCAAGTTAGGAGTTTTTGAGAAACAATATTTTATACATGAATACATGTAAGTATTTCATGATTTTAAATATCTTGATCTCTGGAAACATGAGTAGAACATGCTTGAGTCATGATAAATTTAAGATATTTCAACGGATTTACTCAAAGTAATGATGAAAGGTTATTTTTCTAACCTATCATCATACATGCAATTTGCCATATTTAATTACTTGACTTTGAACTGGTATATCTCCCTCATTTCTTAACGAAAAATCGAGATTCTTTTTCTCAATTATCATACTCCGAGTTATCTTTCCAACCCAAATGGTCTCACTGGAAAACACTAAGATTTCGATTTCTAATAACTTTTACAAAACTTTTGCTCCAACATCACTTTAATTATGAATATTAGTTTTATGTTGCATGTTAAAGAGGGTAAATCATCACTAAAAATTCTTCAAAAAATATTTTGAACACCTATCATCATAAAAAAAAGTTACAAAAAGATCTTAGCTTAAAAGTAGTGAGAAAATGTTATAAAAATTCTCAAAGTGACATCAACATTTTTACCAAAATCACAAGAACTAAGTTTTTATCTATAATCTATTGGGCCCTTAGGCTTGTTTTAGACATTCAAAATGAGAACACAATTTTTCACTATTATTAAATTATATGAATATGTATTCTGGAAATTTTCAGCTTCAAATATATTTTCTTTATTTTTTGTAACACCGTAAATTTTCAAACAATTTTTGTTTCATTTTAAAAATCACATAATTCTCATAAGACAATTCACAACTCTCCAAAATGACAATTTATCAAAAACGCATGTTCATAAATTGATTAAACACAATCCAGGATACTCGAAACATAACTCTGTCTTGTGTGTAAAATCAAGTCGGCGCCTTCACGTGATCCTGAGAACTACCTAAAACACATAACACATAACACGATATGCACGAAGCTTAGTGAGTTCCTCAAAATACCACACATATCTCATTAGCCTCTCACGACTATACTCGAATAAGACACTCCGGTCAATGTGTCTCAGTGGAACCCTCCGGTCCCACAACTCGGGTGGACCCTCCGGTCCTAAATCAGTAAGCTTAAAATAATACAAAACATAAATCACAAAGACATAATGCATGGTTTCACAATACTCAATATAAACACATAAGACCGTCCGGTCACACAAATATTACCACTCTAGGTAATTATAGTTAGAAGACTCACCTCGTAAGCAAGCAAGAAAATAAACCTCGTACATGAATCACCGATCTAGCCTCCGCCTAACACATATGATAATTATATCTAATTAACACTCTAATCACTACTCTAAATAAGCCAAATGATATTTTCTCTCTCTAACTCTTGGTATGGGTAAAAGAACATTTTACTTCTCCATGGTCCCCATAATCCCTGTCTTAACTAAACCCTAAAGTCAACAGAAGTCAACACTTCGAGTCAACAGTCCATGTTGACCCGACTCGACGAGTGCATCTATGTGACTCTCCGAGTCACCTCGTTTCTTCAGAAATGTTGTGAAAATCCAACTTAACTTGTCAAGTTGTCTCATCAACTAGCCGAGTTACTCATGTGTAACACCCACAGATTCAGGCTAGGCAGTTAAGATATAATAACCGTTAAAAAATGATTTTTTTATAGAACATTATCCAGGATAAATATTTTAACCAAATTAATAGTTAGGGTTAACAATTTTAACCTATTTGATATAATAAAGAAGAATTATTTCAATATTATATGTTTAATGATTATTATAATATAATAAAATAGGAAAAATCAGTCGAATCGTCCGTAAATCGTAAAAATAAGTGCGCCATATATATATATATATATATATATATATATATATATATATATATATATATAATATTTAGGAAGTACATGTCGTCCCGATCTCGAAAATATAAATTTCGTCGAAATCCGAATCCGTATGAATTAGATATTATTTTTATAAGATATAAAATTCAGCCGAGCACAACGAATATATGGCGTAAAAAGCTACGAAGAGAATGATTGACTTTTAGCTAATGCGACCAAAATGAAAATCGTAC